TTTGCTTCGTTCATGAACGGCTCGACGAAGAACAATCGAGAAATCTGATCGATCTCTTGATTTTTCGATCTCAATTTTAATCGGAAACTCGCACCTTTTATACTTCTCTCGCCCTCCCCGCACCTCTTGTTGCTGCCGCCAATAGACAGATTTATTTATGATTAACCGACACGGATAGAAGGGTAATAAAAGAACTAAAGAAGAGAGGAATTCGAGCCGTTTTAAATTTTGGATTCTGACGTTTGTTAAGGCATTCATGACCGTCCATTAGGGGTGGGGTGGGTATGAGAGATTTGAATTTGGATTCGGGAGGTTCGGATATCTAGTTATAAGATTTGTATATGGTATTTGGTATTTACGAGTATCCAGAGTATGGTATCCGGAATAATGATCGGGTATTCGCGGGTATCCGGATCTGGATTTATTTAAGAAAAACAATAATATTTATATATAAATTTTTCAAAAAATGAAGATATATTTATAAAAATTGATGAATTATGATAAAATATATGAGACAAAGGAGATAATAAGAGGTAAATAATAATAAATTTTATTTTTTTTTGAATTAATATTAAAATATATGAAATTATTTAATCTAAAATAATTATATTTTATAAAAATATTATATAAATATAATTTATAATTATTTATAATCATAATTGTCAGGTACCCGCGGATATCCGGTTTTAAAAATTCTATTATCCAGATTTGGATTCAGATTCACGGATATTGAAAAATCGAAATTTGGATTCAAATTTGAAAATTACGAATACCCTAAAATCGGGTATCCGTGAGACGAGTATCCGACGGATACCCGATTTTCGGATATTTGTGCCCAGCCCTACCGTCCATGGCCAAACCCCCGTCCCAAAATTGTAAGATTGTTTCCATAATTCCATGTCCAATTCCAACTAAATCTCCTCACCTTTACAAACTAAAAAGCATACTTTTAACTCAAGAATTTAAAGTTAACCCTTTTTTTGGGTCATCCCTCTGACGATGATTACATGTGGGGAATATAATATTCTGCCCTAATTCGAATCCTTAAAACATTAGCATTGAGATATCAGACTAAATTTTGAAAAGAAAAAATATATAGATACATATTACTTCAAAGATTTTTCAATGAAATATTTTGTTTTATTATTTTTTCCCTGATTGAAATCGATACAATTTTGAAAAGAATAAAAAAAATGTGTTTAATAGAAGATTATAGTGGGAGAGCATTAACTTTTCAAACATTAAAGGAGAAAAATAATTCAACCATATATATATATGTAATATAAAAGCAGGCAAAAACATCCAACACTTGATGATGACATGTGAAGTAAGAAACAACATTTTTTGAGGTTGAGAAAACATGAATAATAAAGAAATCCAGTTGAGTTTTCAACAAATGGAGGAAAGGGAAAAGACAGTGTCAGTGGCTGCTGCTTTCTGCGTTTCTGATGATCGGTTTGAAATACGGATGCGCCTACACACACACAACATCAACTCTTTTTCTTCAGACGCAACATCATAGAACCATGAGTTAGTTTGTATCATGCATGAAAAAGGCACATCTATTTTACCATGGCTTCTTTGGCGGTCGGCCTTTCTTGGTGATCGTATCTCAGCAACTTGTCAACAAAATCAACCGCCTTTTTTGAGAAACAAAAAAAAAAACACACAATCATTAATCAGATGTTCATAATGTGTTGGTGCTTCACATAAGAATAAGCAGTCAGTGGGAGTTGTGTACCTCAGGAACTGCCAAGTGCTGGTTCTCAGAGTTTATGAACTTTGACCATGGTTTCCGGCTATGTCTGGAGATCAATCAGGACCCAATTGTTTCTTAATGCTTTAACATTGTTGAAAATAGAAAAGAAACGGAAATTTTCAACAAAAAAAAAATCTGTCAATATATATATATATATATACGTATATAATCTGACAATACCTCCCAACAAGTGCTGCAAGATTCGGGTCCATCTCTATCCGGTATTTGTTTAGGTAGGCATTAAGTTCATCTGTACCAAGCACCTGCCATTGTGCACACGTACACAAATAATAATCTTCACTTAACACCCATGAATGAGCCTGACATGTCTTCCATATTTGTTTTGTGTTCTAAAGATCATATTCTTCTCCAGTAAAATCAAGGATGAGAGTTCATATATGGAAGATTCAACAGGGGCAGCCTGAAAGACGAACACTTTCTGCAGGACATTACCTTTGCAATTTTGACCAACTGATCATAGTTGTCATGGCCATAGAAGAATGGTTCCTTGCGGAATATCTGCAACCAAATCTCAGTATCAGCATCCATATACTTGGCCGTATTTCCATAAATCAAGATAAACTAATCTGGTCTGCTCACCATTCCAGCAAACATGCATCCAAGACTCCACAAGTCTAGAGAATAGTCATAATCCTGCAAATCAACCAGCAGCTCTGGACCTTTAAAGTACCTGCTCATTAGCACAAGTGAATTACACAAATTGAAAACTGTGCCTCAACTTATAAAATCTAAATATGGAATGCATCCCTTCTACAATACAGGAAATTCATTTCTCGAATAGGTTTCTATCAACAGGAATGTGTACTAAGGAACAAATCCCATGGTGCAGTGGTTTACACCCAATCAAAGGAAATTACCTAGAAGCTACACGGACGTTGTACTCTTTTCCAGGATGATAGAATTCTGCCAATCCCCAGTCAATTAGACGTAGCTTTCGTTGTTCATGATCAATCATCACATTATGTGGTTTCACATCTCTGTGCATGATTCCCCTCGAGTGGCAATAGTCCAATGCCTACATAAGTGAGAGACAAAAAATATATGTTACTAATAGTTCAGGAGCCGAAATAAGGTATGCCACAGCTTCTGATTTTATCAGTTCATCTCAAGTTTTATGTATAACAAATGAACAACCAATGTACCTTCAGAAGTTCGTAGATATAATATCGAATATCGTAGTCTGAGAGTGTTGGATAGAGCACTTTAAAATCCTTGTTATTCACATACTCAAATATCAAGCTGGGAGTCTTTGACTGCTGATCTCTAACAATATCTAGCAATTTCACAATATTTGGACCGCCACAAAGGTTCTGCAGAATCTTAATTTCCCTCTTAATCTGCGTCGAGGGGAAGCAAAAAGCGTTAGGAACATCGCCACTAGGACAAACCAAGGCAAAGTTTGAAAAATGCATTGGTAAAAATGAGCACACATCTCGACATAACTCACCTTCTTCTTCTTCACCGGTTTCAGAATCTTGATAATGCATTTTTCATTATCAGTGGTGTGTATACCCTCAAACACCTCACTGTATTTGCCCCTTCCGACCTTCCTCGCCACCTCGTAATCATCCTGTTCACTGTGTCATCGAAGGAGCAACCTCATAACATGCAACACAAACTCACAATCGTACCACTTAAACAAAAAAAGTATATTTGTCCGAAATCAGATGAGATTCAACTATCTAGAAGACTACAACACATAGATTAATCCTCCCAATCTCAAGGATGAACGAAGAGCACATCCAAGCCAATAAAACCACGAAATGTGACAGAAATAAATCAAAGTGTGTATGTTTCAACTGATTCTACACAGCAATTGCCTAAATAGGTACTGGAAATAAGACCCTAAACCTACATTCCTCTACCATTACACAAACAGTCCACACCCTATGAACATCCAAGAAAAACGAGGAAACAGGTAAATAGAACAATCATAGAGATGGGCAAGGAATCTCAAAGTACCCCCATTGAACGGTGAGGGACTCGTAGTCCCAGTACTCCTTGGGCCTGACGATGTTGACATCGGCGTAAACCCTAGCCTTCGACGGAGCGCCGGGACAGCGGATCGACTTTCCGATCTTCTGAGCCATCGTTTCCGGCGTGTCACCACCCTTAACGCGCTGTTGCCGGAGCTGGTGGCGGTAAAGCGATGCGAAGCCGCGGACGACCCCGACGGAAGGCAACGCCGGCGAGAAACGGAGGCTTCCCTTCCCCAAAGAAGGAGAAGAACGACCGGAGAAGATGGAGAACAGATTATTACTGGAGGCGGCGGAGGAGGAGACGTTGCGAAGAGAGGAGGTTATGAATCGCGAGGGCCTTGAGGCCATTAAGAGAGTCTTTACCTCGGGAAATCGAGACTAAGGCAAGAATCGCTTTTTCTTCAATCTTTTTGCTTTCCGTCGAAACGATCATGGTTGATTCCAAACGGCGTCGTTTAGGGCTCCCCAAAGGGGTAATAGTAAACCTATTTAAATTGTAGGGTCAGACTAATAATAAACCAAAAGTACAGGGTGCAAAAACTAAAAAACGTGTGACCGTAGCCAGAGAGGAGCTTTCTACGTTTCGATCTCCGCGTGCTCATTTTCGATGAAATATTGATCGGACGCCATGGATGGATAATCAGAGAAGCCTCTGCTTGGACGCCACGAACCTTTTATCTTCATCAACCTCGTGGTTATGCATGTGTGTATATAGACTCGTTTTATCAGATTGAGATATATATCTGTTATGTGGTTTTCGTTTCTGGGTAAGGGAAGATAGTAAACTAACAACTTAACCGTAGTCTATCTTCGTATTAAGAAAAGGATCTGACTTTCGATCATTTGGCGTCGTAAATCATCTGCCATTCAAACCGTTATGTCTGCTTCACTGTCCTCTTCAACAGGTAAGGTTGTTCTCATGCTTGGTTCTGCTCCCACGGCTTTTCTTCTTGTATGGTTATAACCGTTATTACATTTTCATGAGCTTCCTCATGGCTCTTGAGTTTAGGTGTTATGTGATCAGCCCATTACATGATTCTATGGATGAACAGCTATGATAACCAGTAGTGATGGTTAGTGATAAATGTAAGTGTAATTGATGGATAAGAAAGAAAAGTTCGAAGACTTACACCAAAAGCGGAGCTTTCACCTTATCCTCATAGCTAGTCCCCACCTTCCTTGATTCTGACGCCAGCAACCCCTCACTTTGCTGGAAAAAAAAAATAATTTTTTTATTTTCTCGTAATTGATGCATAAACATGACTGAAACATTTAGATACCAACCATGTAGACAGTTTTTTTTTTGTTAACCGGATGTTACATGCTGATATACAAACTAATTATGGGTTCGAAAACAAGTTGTGAGTCAAATATACTCCCCATTCCAACTTGAATCTCGAATTCGAGACATACGTTTCATCTGTTCAAGATGGGTCCATGTACATTTCGTTGAATAAGCCAAATACAGGTTAATTTCAAAAAAGAAGATCACCATTAATAGTTCATAACGAATAGCATTGCTATAATCTTCCTCATAGTTCAAAATACCAATGATAAGAAAACATAAAGGTCCAAAACCGGAAGTGTTCCCTTTTTATTGATTAAATTTGAGTGGACATTGCTTGCATTCTCTCCGGTTTTGCATGTCAATGGTGGAAAAAACCAATTAAAAGAATCAAATCGCTGTAACAAAATGGAGTTTCTTATAAATAAATAAAAATTGGTATATCAGGTAAGTTTTGTATAAAATTTTTGTTCCACTTAATCCATTTTCGAATGGTTGGATTTCAAGGAGACTAATGATTATGCCCCTTTTTTTTAATATAAAAGATGAATCCATTAGGATATTTTGGATTGGTCAGCGTCAGACCAACCAACACACGAAAAGAACATCTTGCCAATGCTAAATTTCGGGGCATATGTTAAGGTTCAAAATGTCTCATGGGAGATATGAAAACAAATTAGAGTCCCCCTTCATATGATGTAACTGTTGAACTCCTCACCGATTCTTGTTCTTTGAATCGCGACAACAATTAAATGGTTGTCATATCGTACGTGGATGGCTCCCCCCAATGTGTCAGGAGCCTTTGTACCTTCTAATTTCATTTTCAATTCAAAAAGCAGAGGAGACAAATATTAATAGAATACCGTTCGTTAAATAATTTATTTTCATGCGTGAAATTCGATTATATTTGTTATTTCAAATATTGTATTCGAACATTATATATATATATAATATAATTGTTAAAATACAGTTTTAGAATTATTCGATTGAAATTTTAATCATATTTACCGTACAAGAACGACTATTGATTCATGGTCTTCGAATAAAAACCGGTACGCCCATGTGAGCTGTAAAGTGTACGGAAAGAAAGTGACAGTATTAGTTGATAATTTTTCAGATAATGATGACACGTAGGAAGTGACAATGACATTATTAGCTGATAATTTCCGAAATAATTATTATTAGAGACATTAGGTTAAGATATGCTGTAGATTTGTCATGTTTCATATACTTTTAAAAAATGTAAAAGGGCTTTTTGAATTTTCCCATCCTTAATCCTAGTTTATTAAACGTTTAATGTGGTTACATAAACAGTAAATTATATTATCAGATGGTTTAGTTTAAATAAATTTGTTATGATTTAATTTGGATATTATCAATTTCATTTGGTTTAGACTTTTTTGTTCACTTTCTTTTTCTTTATTTCATATTATCTTTATAAAAATACAAATTTTATTCTAGAGTTTAATTATTAAAAAAAACGTTCTAGATTGTAGCATGTCAATATGTATTCGTGGAGCCTCTATTATATCCTACTTATCTTATATAATACTCCTTCCGTTTTTTAATAAATCTCATTTTAGAGATTATTTTTTATTTCTAATAGTTGTAATTTTATATTTTTTGAGTGCTTTTTAATAATAAAAAAAATCCAATTTTATCTTTAATTTAAAAATAAAATTTAATAGAATATTAAGGTGGATATGATTTTAATGAGGGCACATATAACTTTAAAAAAAATTTAAAATTGCGAAAACAATTAAAACGACATCTATATAAAAACGAAAAGAATAAGAGATAAAAACCCGTTGGTAAGTACTGTCCAACGTAATTGATACAAAGTTCACTAAATCTCTTATTTAATGAACTTACATCAATGAATACAAGATTCAGGCATCTAACTATGGCAATACACTTCCTTGTATACAATGGACTGATTAAATAATTATATATATAAATATATATATATATATTTAAATATTAGTTCAAGACCTATTCCACGTAAGAGTGACATGAACCGAACTTGAAATTAGGTTAAAAAAAATGGATGTCGTCACGAAGAATTATAAAAATCATTTTATGCTCTATAATGACATGAATATATACATACACAAATACGTCCTACAACCCTGGTTTTAATGATGTGCAGATTTCATTCCAAGTTTTGGTTTTACACCGAATCATTTTGACCTTGCATCTACCAATATATTATATATATAATCCATTCTTAATAATGCGCTATTAATTAGTTTGGATCTTACGTTTTTTGTAAATACACATTATACCTATACATAAAACTATATATATATATATATATATATAACAAATGAAAAGTAAATAAAAGAAAAAAAGAGTTGGTGGACTGGAATGAACACACATGGCTTTAAATGGTTGCTAGTTCCCCCTATCTGATTACCAGCGCTCTCCCAATGATTAACCCCCAAAAATAACAAAAATCACTCAATAATAAATTTTTTTTTAAAAAATATTAGATACACTTTCTTATAAACAATAATAAATGTTGTTGATAATAGCAAATAAATAAATAATTAATTAAATAAAACCCTAGAGCCTCAATTCCATACAAAAATCCAAACCACTTGTAACCAATAATTTTCACACCAACCGCGTCCATGTGCACCCCACGCCACGGTACACCACACCCACACCGTCGTCTGACGTCAGCTTTCTCTGTCATTTCCCCAATGCCCAATGTTTATTTATCTTCTTCCAATTTAAATATCGTTTCACTGTAACCAAAATATATATATATGTTCAGAGCATATAGATATAATATGCATAAATGGACCGTGTTTAGCGAATAAATAAAATAAACGGAAATAAATGAAGTAATGGACAAAGTATTCGCGGAGACAAGGAGCCGCTCTCCTTACCCCAACACCTTGGAAATCCCCTCTCTCTCACTACCTCTACATTTGTTTCACATTTTAAAACTTTAATTACAGTTTTGACTGTCCTTTTTTTTTCTTAATATTCGTTTAGATTTTAAATTAACTTAACCTTTTTACTGAAAACTTTCTACTGCTGCTTCACCCTTATTAGACGATGTATCTTTTCTTTTACAAAGCAACATTTTAGGGTCTCTCAACGCAGACCAGTTTTTTTTTTAAATCATGATCCGAATTTTGATAAACTAGAGACTGCTACTCATATTGTATCAAATTAAAATTTCCTTGTTATATATTTTTATTTCAGTTTCAATAAAGTTTCCCGTTAAATATTTGCAATGATGTGGTCCAATCCTCTAGCTAATAGCTTGCCCCCTGAATTTCAAACGTATAATAGAAAAATATACAAAAAATGCGTTATTAATTTTCATTTTTAATAATGGAAAAAGGAGGGGGCAGAGAATAAGATGAAGACAAGTTGACTCATTATTTTATTACGCCCTCGCTTCTATAAATCCACCCCTCTCTTCTTCCATCCCAAACTTGCTTCTCTTCCCTCTCCCTCTCTCTGGTGGGTTTACTCTGAAATCAGTAGAAAATATCTCCATTTGTCTTCGATCGCGAATCAATCTTCCATTCTCTTGTTGCCTCCAGCGAATCTGGAATTTTTTTTTCTTGGAAGAGTGTGAATCCAATGAGTTGCAATGCATCCTCCGTCCATGCCTTCAGTGGATCGAATCCGCTGAGGCTCAGGGCCACGCCACCGTCTTCGTCGCCAAGTTCTTCGGCCGCGCCGGTCTCATGTCCTTCATCTCCTCCGTCCCCGATTCTCAACGCCCTGGTACCATTCCTCTCTCTCTCTCTCCTGATTTTGTTTTTTGAAATTTGAAATACCCTTTCGTTCTGACCATTTTTGGATTTCAGCTCTGTTTCAGTCGTTACTCTTCGAGGCCTGTGGGAGGACGGTGAACCCCGTGAACGGCGCGGTGGGGCTGCTGTGGACCGGAAACTGGCACGTCTGCCAGGCGGCGATGGAGACAGTCCTCCGCGGTGGATCCTTGCGGCCGATCCCGGAGCTTCTCTCCACTGGATCTCCTCCACCGTTCATGGCCACCGACCAGGCTTCCAAAATCAGTACATCCATGTGGCGGTTGCCGCGTAAGGATGGTTCGACGGACGATAACCCTAGCCACCACTGTCGCTTCTCCAGATCCAAGGCGGCGACGGAGAAACGGAAGCGGCAGAAGCCGGATCAGCCTGCTGGTTCGAATCTGGATCTCCATCTGAACCACGGGCTCCCTTCGGCGGCGCCGTGCAAGGAGGTGATAACCGGCGATCGGCCGGGAACTCCGTCGATGATATCGGAGGAGTCGGTAACGACGTCGTGTTGGGACGGTGGGTTCGGTGATCAGTACGGCAACGGAGGAGAGAGGAAGCTACTGAATCTGTTTGTTTAAAAACCGACGGTGTTTTCTTCATCTCATTATCTTCTTTTATTCTCCGGGCCATAAATTTTGGTTTTTGTTTTTGTGTGGGAACGATTTTTAGTTCCTCTTTCTATATATATATATATATATCCGGTTAAATTTGAGACACTTATGATGTAGAATGACCGGCTAATTCATGATTTCTCCCTTTGATTATCGTCGTAATCAGAGATTTGAGAAAAATGATAAATTTGCCGGTTTTAAAACTAATTATATTTATAAAATTCTATTTTCTTTTCCTTTTGTTCGTTGCCTTGATGAATTATCCAAGTACACACCTGTTCTTGAAACGGAGACGTAAGATATCATCAACCCACAGCAGCTCTAGAGTCACGCCCATTAACATTAGTCTTATATATCCAAAGTCGGAATCTTAATTGTAATTATGATTTAGCCATAGAAGCATTAGTTATGACAAGTTTTTTGTTTATTGTTTTGGATTAGCTTTATATTGGACACTTAATTACAATTTTAATTAGGTACATCTGTTTCTGGGTTGGGGGGGGGGGAGAAGGCAAAGCAAGTAAGGTCCCAATGGATAAAGTCATATGGCTTATGGATAATGCAAAGAGTCGTTTTTTACAGAAACCATAGTGATAACCTCTCTAATAATGAAAACCATGTATATATGTGTATATATACCGACAAGAATTTTAGATAATTAGAAATGCTGATGCTTTAATTCTGTAGCCAAATATATTCTCTCAAATAATTATATATTTTTTGAGAGAGAATAAAAGGGTGGGACCCAGAGATATTCGGAAAATCTGCAACACGTCTCCCTTCACTTGCCTCATCCAGACAACTGGGAAAGGAACCTCACTTCCACTTTTTCATTAAATTGTGTTTGCTTCGTTCATGTCGTGTTCGTCTCCGTTTCTCCTCCTTTCTTTATTTTATTTTTTAAAATTCTCTCTCTATTTTTTTCGCGTCTAAAAATTAATACTACTTACACCTTTTTCTTTATACGTATATATATTCCATTTTTGTAATAAAATCGTAATTGAACATTCATTTGCACCCCCGAAAATTTTCTTTTTCACGAACGTTTAATATTCTCTATTAAAAAAAAAAGATCAAAGTTTTCAAAGAGGTGTGGGAAAATTTTTCGAGTCGCCGCATAAATGTAAAGCGGGGCCCACAGTGAGATAGAACACACGAAGATCCACGTCAGCTACGAAGCATCTTAGCGGTCTATCTATCGAAGGCATCTTGAACTAAACACATCAGATTCCTCCACATTCGGAGCACCAAATCCCCTTCTCTCCAAGTCGCAGCCAACTCGATCTTTTCCATGTTTTTTTTTTATAAAATTCTTTTCCATGTTTCGGTTCTCTTTGTCATGTTTTTTTTTTTTGTTTCTATTATTTATTTCTTTGTTTGTGAAAACAAAATCCAGGAACTCCAATTTTTTTTGTTAAAAATATATTGTATATCAATAACTGAAAACATCTGTCTTAGATTGATTGTTACGAGTCAATTTGGACGCATTTTATATGATTTAGTGCCATTAGTTAGAAACCACTGGTTCCTGATTACTTGAATTCGGAATGCATTGCCACTGAATGATAAAAATAAAAATAGATGTTTTTTTATAGCATGTTTATTTTTAATAAAACCAACTTTAAATATAAAAGTTAAATGAATATAATTAAGAAACAGAAAAATAAAATCTAAAAATAGCCACCACTACCTGAGGGAGGAGAATCAAATAAACTTGAGCATAACCAAGAATTAATAAAGGGTGTGACGCGGATTTCACCACCGTCTCCTTTTTCGTTTTTTTTTAAAAATTTATTTTAATGAGTATTAGTACGGATGGGGACATAATTTCAATTAATTGCGATTAGGTTACTAATTAATCCTTGGTCCCTTTGGAAATGGTAAACGTAATAGTCATTACAAATCTTTATTTCTCTTAAAAGAAATCATCACTTTTGCCTTTTTCCATAATCCGACAATTTTTTTTTGGGTCTCGGAGAGTCATAATTTGTAATGTTTTCAGATAAACCGAAGGACCATGGGACGGGCAGATCGGACATCGTATTTATCGAGTGCTAATAATAAAAGTATGATCACGATGGTCAGAAAACACATTAACTAAACCTGCAAACACCTGAAATCTGATGAATTAATGAAAAAAAAATGCGAGCCCATTCATACACACGCACGTCATTCCTCTTCACTAGTGAAATATGTATGCATGCATGAGTATACGTACGTACGTATGTATATATGTATGTATGTATGTATGTATGTATGAAAAACGAAGTGTCGCGGAAGTTGCAAAGAGCAAATTGGATGCCTCAAGGGAGGAGGCCGTGGGGACAAGGCTGGTTGCTTCTCCATCCGCTGTTGGTTATGGCCTTTATATGTATATGTATATATATATATATATATACTCTGTCTGTAAATTATACCAAGGCCAAGGGCATATATGGTTTTTTAATTACATTCATATTTAATTTCATATGCTCAGTGAAGTTCACAGCAACAGCTTAGTTCGGTGTATATCCGTAGAAATGAACCAGAAAAAAAAAAACAAAAGAGCGAAGAATCCGACAGAGAGTCGTGGTCGGGCACGAGACTTCACGTGCTTCGGCGGCTATTATTCAGAGAGAGAAGAAAATTGAAAAGATTCTCCGCCATATATCGTTGACCGAACTGATCTTCCCATCTTCTCTCTCCACTGTCTCCTTTGATCTTCGTTTTTTCGGCCGAACACTTATTGTACAAGACCCAAGTGAACCCGACACTCACACGACCATTCTTGCATGGCATACATTTTATATATTGTATCCTCTTTTCACATTTTCAAAATCAATATACAGTTACTTCTTGAAAATTTTATAGAAATAACCTTCCTAAAAAAATAAATAAAGAATATATGAAATGGAGTACATATGCGAGACTTTTGACTTATGAAAAAAAATGAACTGAAGCCCATTGTGTAACGATATATAATGGGCTTCTCGTGGCATTAGATTTTTTTAGGTCGTAATATCGAGTCAAGTCGGTCCAGGAGCCATATTTTCATCATATAAAATGCCTGGTGTATTTATATTTATTTTTTTATGAATATATATATATATATATTTATTTATTTATTTTATCAAGACCAAAACGTTTTATTTATTTATATTTCTTTGTATTGGAAATTTATTCTTTACGCTTAAGATCTTGAGTTGAACCAATTGACGTTGCAACCCTTAACAACACCCCAAAGAAAAAAAACCCAGAAATCCAAGAAAAAAGAAATTCCCCTTTACGAGGAGGCGTTAATTGAAAGCTCCACAATCTCGGCGAATATTGCCGTTACGACCAGTCTTGACGCCGACACGGCCGAGCTTGATCATGGCATTAGTGAAGGCTTGATTGAACAACTGCCCATTGCTCGCCCACTGGTTAACCGTTGACTTTGACCTAGGGTCCGTGAACAGAACCTGGTCCGAAGTGAAAAGCCCTTTCCCCTGCTGCAGATTCTTGTAGTAGACGTTGTCGAACTGCCTCGGTGTGGTGGGGTCCATGTTTATCGCCACACGTGGATCCACGTTGCGCGGGCATGCTGCCTGAAGTTGTGCCACGTAAGCCTTGTTCAGCGTGGGGTCCACTGGGCTGGTCCTACTGAAGCTGTAGATCCTGTTGAAGACCTTTGTGCAGTGCGCGAATCCCAGCGTGTGCGCCCCTTTATTAATCAAAATTTAATTTAATTCTTTAATTACTAATTAGTCGTCACATATCTTATTCGCCGATTTCAAAACAATAAATCAAATCTATTTGTAAAACGCTTAACCTTTACGTACGTTGAATATTCTTCGGCGTCTCGCGTGCCGATCATGCATCGTTGTGAATATAGATAATGCAGTTGTATGTTTTCCAAAAGTCATCCTCTCGTGTTTATTTCAATTTCCTTCATTTTTTTTCATGCGTATACGCATTTGAATACGGAGATATCTCATTATTCAAGAACTTGTGCTAAGATTTCCAACACGGTCATATTCCAAATCTAAAATTTTAAAATATACCTTTTTTTTTATAAAAAAAAAACAAGTGTTGAATGATTGATGGGTTACCGGAGAGAGCGATCATATCGGTGAGGCTAAGTCCGTTCTTGGCGAAGAGGGAACTGAGTTTGTTCAAATCGTCGGTGGGCTGAGGCAACTTCCCTCCGACACTCGCCGCCGTGGAAGACAGTCCATCAAGCCTTCCCAACTCCACTTCATATCTTGGTCCCCCCGCCTGTAACGTTTACTTAATTTAATTCATTATTTATATATTGATTACAATTATAATGATTGTATATAAAATATGGCGTCGTACGGACCAGGAGAACGACGTCACGGGTGGCGATGGCGAGAATATCGGCGCAAGAAACTTTGTTACGGCAACTTGGGAAGGCGTCGACGGCCTGTTTGGCCTTGATGACTGTGTCGAATCCGTCTCCGGCCAACGACAAGTTGTCCGGGTGATCCTTCTCCGCCTTGTTGTTCCCCGTCGACGCTATCATCACCGACGCATCACACCCCTGCACGTATATGCGTTTACATGTACGCCATTTTTACATCCATGTGGAGAAAAGATATTGTATAAGTATCTCAAACGTTGAAAGAATCTGCGTTACATTGACGAAACAGTCGTGGAAGAAGAGGCGGAGAGTGGCTGGGATGGTGACGAAGGTCTGTTGGATTTTCTGCTGGACGACGTTTCGGACGATCTGTTCGACGTTGGGACATGAGTTTGCGTAGAAGTTGCGTCTGAGCTGAGCAGAAGCTGTGTCCGGAAGCAAACAGAGGCTCATATACATGCACAGCATCACCAGTACGAGGTTGATCCCACGACCCATCTCTTGTTTTCCCCAAATTAACCTCTCTAGCAAAAAAAAAAAAAAAGAAACGAAAGAGAAGATGATTCTTGATTCTTTAACGTTACGATTACTGTTGTGGTGTGGTCTGATATGATTAGAGTGGTACCAAGGAAGGGCATTTATATGCGTTGGAGATAGAGCGAAAACAAACCCTTTTTTTTTTTTTTGCTTTTTTGTGGCGGACACAAGAAGGGATACAGCTGGCATTTTATAATCTATATTTAAATGAAATGATTCATTTGGCCGTTTCTTGCGATTTGTTATTGTTTATGACATTTTTTTTAGATTTTATTTTTGTAAGGGAATCAAAGTGGTGAGAGACAGAGAGAGAGAGTGATGGGAGGGAATAAATTGTTTTATAGGCCGCCTTTGTTCTGTTCTCAACTGCCCCCTTCGCTGACTTGAGTATTTGCCATTTGTTCTTACGCACCTCGTCGCCTGTCTCTGTCATATTCACATGTGTATATATATTTATACTTTTCAACTTGATTGAATCTCGTGGTGATGCAGTACTGAATTCACGAGGTTCGACCGATTTTAAATTTTGAATAAATGTAACTTTTTTGTTGATGATTTAGTCATATATAATTTCGATGCGTTTTTTTCAAAAGGCATGTAAAAAGGGTTCCATGGTGTGTGTGTATATATATAGCAATCATACTTTTCACTCTCTGTCGTCATCTTATATTATGGCCCCTTTTTTTCAAAATAAAAAACATTGTTCATATCCAAACCAAATTGGAAGTTACATAATAATTGCTAGGTTGGAACACGAAATCTTATCCAAAGTCCCCTATTCAGTTTTATGGTAATCTGCGTCCGAAATTTGAAGAATACACATATTGATTACCCTATGAGAATTAACTAGATAAATGTACGAAATGATTCGAAAATCATTCCATGAAAAATATCACCCAAAAAAAGTTATCATAATCAATAGATTATTTTGAGGTAAATTAGATAAACGCATATAAAGTCGCTTATGCTTAACCTCTTTGATTCAAGATGGAAGGGTAACATTATCGGAACAGGTAAGGGTAGTTCAAATAAATATGGTCCAAATGCCTCGTTTCTGGAATATACTGCTTTACAGAAGTAGGAATCAGTACTAATATAAGATGTGAATAAGGTGGATACAAAATAAAACGTGTAATATTATATATATATATATATATATATATATATATATATATATAGATGATTAATTAGTCACTCGTTTACGTAATCTTTATAAATAATGGATTAGGGTTTGATCTCTGCAGTGGAAGATATGACTCGCTTGCGTCAGGCTTGGGGTCCTTGTCCAATCAGACAACATTTTCGCGAATCATTTTGGAACTCTAGTGAAAAGACTTTAGATTTAATTAAAATAAAACCGATAGGAGAGGAAAAATATCATTAATTTGTTTGGACATTTCCAATAATTGTAGCGCCTTAATTGATTGGATTAGACGTACAGTCTCCTATATAATTCCGGCATCCCATGTTTTAATTTGAATTTTATCGGGGATAGCTTGTAAAACTAGTTCGGGACAATAGTTTACAGTCGATGAATAGTGTATATATTGCATGGACGTATTTAATTTAATAAAAAAAAAAATATGACGATGAACCGACATGGACACTCGAGTTCCAAAGTTTGGTGTCTTTAATTTTTTATTTTCATACGACCTCTCTCTATTTGGATTTATTTCACGTGCCATGTGGGCAAACACATGGAATCTTTTTCTTCTGTAAATTAAATCTTTTTAACAATCCTAGTCTCTCTCTCTCTCTCTCTCTCTCTCTACATATATATTATGTATAATCATGACTTCATAAGTGCTTTTAAGATCAGAAAATAAATAATACGTTCAGGGTTAATGATAAAATTACGTAGGAAATCACTATGCAACTATGTTATCCATATCTTGATTTTCATATTTAAAAATTACATATATATTTTTATATTCAGTATAAAACTGATTCTACGAAAAAAATGTGAAATCGAGTTAGTTATGACAGAAATGGAGTAATGTATTTATATATAAACCAAGTTGTTGAGTTAAAAATGAGCATGCTAACGTTTGCAGCATATGTCGTTTTACTAAAATTGGTAATCAAAAATCAAATAATAGATTATAGTCAAAATCAAATTATACCTGTCACAAACACAAGTAAAATTTTTCTTGATTATTCTTCACCTAATTCTTGTTAGAAATTGTATGTTTATTTCACTTAATAATATTCAAGGTTTTCCAATGTGGTGGAAGTAGATGATGGTGAGGTTAACTCTATTTATTTAACTTTCAACGGGATTTATATATAACTCTATTTGTTTACCTTTCAACGAGAGATCGTGTGTATGTGTGTGTGTATATATATATATATATTATGTATATATTTCCAACAAAATTAAATATACTAATCTTAATTAAGCTGCGATATATATATATATATATACACACCTCCCCGACCAAAAATCAAGAGTCACCATAATTTTCTGGTTATAGCCCAAACATATACTGATTTTAATAATCACGCTTAATATATCGAAATATAATATTCCCAATCTATGATGCGGAGTGGAATGGGAACCCATCGCCCTGGGATTTGCCTCTCTGAGTTTTCACTTTCAGTAGTTTGTTTAGGAGTCCAATTCCAATTTCAAATCACGGCACTCATTTTAATTTGACTTTTTTTCTTTGTTATAAGATAAACCCACCGTATATTTTCAGTAACCTCAAAACTTAAAACGTTTTACATAAATAATAAGGTTCGGATTACTTTATAGCGCGTGAAAAAAAAATCTAAGTACGGTAATTGAATTCGATATTAGCAAGTTTAATTAATAGCACAGATCAATAGAAAAATAAAACTATAAAAAGGGTGATTATGTTATATGTATTTTTGGTGGTTGATAGGACATTATAGACTTTTAGGTCGTAATTAATACCTCGACCAAAGTTGAGTAATTGCCTATCAATAATTGAGTTGCCATTTCCATATAGCTTAAGCCAAACATTGGCTTACTCATTGTCCCGTTTTTTTTTTTAAATATTATAAATTTTTCTTCATATTTTTTTTTTGTTTCATACTCATTTCTTCACTTTTTGGTCGGTCGATTCTTATGATGATAAAATCGATGTTTTTTAAACTTGTTATATTTTTTAAAGACACACACACACACACATATATATATATATATATCATTTCTGAGATGATTATTCTTTTAAGAGAATATTATATGAGAATTGATGTCTATTTTAGATCAATGTGACTGCTAATCTGCTATATACAAACGGGCGCGCGTACACACTATATTTGATGAATATGTTTTACTTTTGAACATTTGTTGGGCCCAAAAAGCCTTCAGCAAATTTATATGGGCTTTATGGGCCCATATATGTATCTGCTGCGTTTTATATTTTCAGATTCTCAAAACGACATGACGATCTCTGAACAAAAAATCTTGTTCCCTTCCCCGCCCTCGGGTCCTCTCACCTTATCCTCGCGTAAACCTTCGTGTTTCCTTCTACCATCGCAGCCAAATCCAGAGATTGTACCTCGGTTTCTCTTCAATGTTGTGTTTTTCATCGATGATTTAACTTTGGTTGCTTGTTAGATAATCTAAACCATGGATCTTTCTGCTTCTTCATCTTCTTCTTTCCTTCGCGTTTCTCGGACGTGCCGTTCCTCTCTGGTGCCGGAACTCTCGTTTTCTTCTTCCGTATCTCAGTTTCCGACTGGAATCCAACTCAATCCTTCGAGATTTGCGAAACCCAGATTCCAGAATCTTCGTATTTGTGCCTCTGTCGCGGCGGAACCCCAGGATCTTCCTCGCGACAGTCCTCAACGCCTGCTCAAGGAGCTCGCGCAGCGTAAACGAGCAACCGGGCCGAAGAAGAAAGTGCCTCCGAAACGATTCATCCTGAGGCCGCCGTTGGACGACAAGAAATTGGCCGAGAGATTCCTCAACAGCCCGCAATTGTCGCTTAAATCGTTCCCTTTGCTCAGCTCTTGTCTCCCGCCCTCGCGGCTCAACAGCGCCGATAAGACATGGATCGACGAGTATCTTCTCGAAGCTAAACAGGCATTGGGTTACTCTCTGGAACCTTCGGAAGGGTTGCCCGACGATAACCCGGCCAAGCACTTTGACACGCTTCTCTACCTCGCGTTCCAGCACCTTTCGTGCGATAGATCGCGAGCGAGGCACGTGAAGAACGGACACTCTAGGCTCTGGTTTCTTGGGCAATACGTATTGGAGCTTGCCCTAGCGGAGTTTTTCCTGCAGAGGTATCCGAGGGAATCACCGGGGCCGATGAGGGAGAGAGTGTTTGCTTTGATAGGGAAGAGGTATCTGCCCAAATGGATAAAAGCTGCGAGCTTGCATAATTTGATATTCCCTTATGATGATATGGATAAGCTGATCAGGAAGGAGCGTGAGCCGCCTGTGAAGTAAGTCTCCGATTCATTCTGATCAGTGTTTTTTGCTGGTTCGTACGATGAATTAGCTGTTTTATTGATCAACATTTGATGATAATTTGAATCGATTATAGTAGCAGCTGAGTTAGTCGTTAGGAGTTGTGCTGAGAGTTGATGTTAAGCACTTTGATCTGTACTTGTATATCTGCGCTTCTTGTAGCACGATGCAATGTCTGATAACCTCTAGCATGGTTCTTAAGATACGTAAGAGGAAGTAAGTTTTCTTTCTTTTGATTTAGACATTGATGCAGCCTTTTGCTGTTAGGAGCAGCTAGCAGATAAAAAAAAATTCTCTCTCTTTTTTTTTTTTAAACGAAGAGTCTTGTAGCTGTTCTTACAGTGTAATTAGCATGTGGATAACCGGATATCCCTTGTGTGAGAATGATATGATTGAATTTCCAACATAGAAGTTTCCGTCATACGCCCATTATCTCGGTTTGAGTTTCGGTGAACGGTATTAATTAGTTCTTGTTCTTGCCAGATCTGTGTTCTGGGCCTTGTTTGGCGCCATATATCTATGTTACGGAATGCCAGAAGTGTATCGTGTTCTTTTTGAGGTATTTGGGATGGACCCAGATGCCGAGGACTGCCAGCCGAGGTCAAGGAGACAGCTTGAAGATGTAGACTATGTTTCGGTTGAGTTTGAAGGCAAAAAGCTGAGTTGGCAGGATGTTGCTACTTACAAGGTAGAGCTTCTCTCTTTCATTGTCACAAACTCGTTATCAAATCAAGCAACTGATACGGTAGTCTGAAGCAAAAAAACATTAAATTGACTGCTAAACAGGATAATGGTTAGTTCTTGGCCGAACGGAATAATCTCAGTAGCCTTTTTTTCTTATTCAACAATGTGGGAAGGCATTATTCATTTATATGCATGTTTCTTTTGGGTAAGCAGCCTCCGGAGGATGCTCTATTCACTCAACCGAGGTTATTCAGGGCATGTGTTCCACCGGGCATGCATCGTTTCAGGGGTAACATTTGGGATTTCGACAGCAAACCACAGGTTATGCAGACACTTGGATACCCGCTGGCTATGAATGACAAAATCCGAGAGATAACCGAAGCCAGGAACATTGAACTTGGACTCGGCTTACAGGTTAGACCGATTTGCTTCTTCTTCCTACGAGGATTAGCTCAGCTCGAGCTCGCAGGTTCTTTCCTCTTAGCTTTGGTTTCCTTTTGAACACCCACAGCTCTGTTTCTTACACCCATCGAAGCACAAGTTCGAGCATCCGAGGTTTTGTTATGAGCGGTTGGAATATGTCGGCCAGAAGATACAGGTGAATCAATCGACAATCCTTAAAAAGACATCAACTTTGTAGAACCCTTTGATCTAAACATGATGATGACGATGATGCAGGATCTGGTAATGGCGGAAAGGCTATTGATGAAGCACCTGGATGCGCCGGGGAAATGGCTGCAAGAGAAACACAGGCGATTGTTGATGAACAAGTACTGCGGAAGGTATCTAAGGGACAAACGCCTTCACAACTTCATAATATACTCGGAGGAGGTTCAAGATCGGTATGAGCATAACCGGCGGCTGAGAAATCCGGCCACCACCGCCGTCCAACAAGCCCTTCACGGCCTCTCCTACTCCGTTTATGGCAAACCCGACGTCCGGCGTCTCATGTTCGAGGTTTTCGATTTCGAACAGATTCAACCTAAACCCATGTGATCTCTCTCTGTTTTTTAAAAAAAAATTATTTATGTATTATTGCTGTTGGTTCTTAGGCGAATATCAACGTAAGATCTTTATTATGAAGTTTGAGCTCAATTTATACGTATATGTACGTACGTATGTATGTATTTATCCAATAATACAGTTTTCTTAGCCAAAAATATCTAAATTATTAATCTTTGAAGATGTTGATATGACGTCAGCCCGCACGTGGATGATAAATATCGTAATTATAATACGCATCAGATTCTTCCCCGAGTGGGGTGACCTTTCTTATCCTGCGCTCCCTCCAATCACCATCAGTCTTCCACTATCGTCGACAACGCCAGTGATGCTGACGATAAGGGACGATTGATTGGTTAGATCGCGGAATTACCTTCTGGATCGATACCTCGGGCTACCAGTCTGCGGAGGAATCATGTCCAAAGCTAGGGTTTATGCCGACGTTAACGTTGTCCGACCTAAGGAATACTGGGATTACGAGTCTCTCGTTGTTCAGTGGGGGTAATCTCACCTCGTTTCATGGCTCACTACGTTGCCTTTTCTCTGCTACTCTGTTTTCAGATGCTTTTCTTCGTCTCTCCTGGAATTTTCTTTGTTCGCGAATCGGGATTGATACCGGAAAGTGAAATCTCAGTGCTTCTCTTCATTTTCTGTTTTCTCGATTGAGTTTCTTTTCTGAACGATCGTAGATATGGTGCTTGTGTTCTGGCATGTTTAGCTAACTTCGTGGAGCTGGTTTTCGCATGGAACTTGGTTTTACTGTTATGTTCGGTTGTCGAAGTTATGTACTTTTTCTGTTGAAATCATCTGGACAAGCTGTGTTTTTGTTCTTTGTCTAGTTGAATTGGTCGAGTGTTTTCGGTGATTTCCTGACGTTGGTGTCTCTTGGGGGAATTTGCAGAGACCAGGATGATTATGAGGTCGTGCGGAAAGTTGGTCGTGGTAAATACAGTGAAGTTTTTGAAGGCATAAATGTCAATTCAAAGGAGCGCTGTATAGTCAAAATCCTTAAGCCCGTAAAGAAGAAGAAGGTATCGATCGATTAATTTTCGTCTGTGATATTGGGTAGCATCTAGAAATCTGTAAAGACTGCTTATTTTAGGTTGGTTAGTTCGCTCAAAGTTTATACATGCCTTGAAATTGATGGCAAATGGCAAATGATTTGGGTTTCATCTGCAGATTAAGAGAGAGATAAAGATCCTCCAGAACCTTTGTGGCGGGCCAAATATTGTTAAGCTGCTTGATATAGTCAGAGATCAGCACTCCAAAACTCCTAGCTTGATATTTGAGTTTGTTAACAGCGTGGACTTCAAAGTTTTGTACCCGACTTTGACTGATTATGATATCCGATACTATATATACGAGCTCTTGAAGGTAATTTGCTGCTCTTTTACATGCTTCACCGAGATACAATTGTATGATATTTTGATTTTTTTGTATGTGCTGATCAGAATCAAGAATCTATGGTTTCATGTATTACTTTTGCTCTGTTTCAGGCATTAGATTTCTGCCATTCTCAAGGAATAATGCACAGGGATGTCAAGCCTCACAATGTCATGATAGATCATGAACTGAGGAAGCTTCGCTTGATAGATTGGGGCCTTGCTGAGTTTTACCATCCTGGAAAAGAGTATAATGTTCGAGTTGCCTCGAGGTAATTTTAGGGAACATATCCCAAGTTTAGCATGCTTAATAGGCCCTAGAGATTCTTTGATGCTGATGATAAAAAATACTTCCAATTGATTTTTGTGTGAACTAAGCAAAAGTAGAAGACCTTCGTTGTTAGGGTTCTAATTTTTTAGCCTCTAATCTATCCTTGTGAATGATAAATCATACCAGGATGAGGCTAAACCCAGACCTGATTTTGTCAATAACGTGGATTTATTTTGTATTTTTAATAGCAGACGGATGGATTAAATGCCTGGAAATAACTGTTTTCTATATATTCTTTTTGTCTCTTAATGGTGTTCTTTTGTTTCTTCTACTGCTGTGCATCTTACATGAAGATGATTGCTTTGACATCGATGGCTGGTTTTATGGAGCGAGTTCTAGAATCTTCTTGTGTTTTGGTTGCTTGGTTAAATCAATTTTGTGTTGGTAATTTGACATCTACCTATGTCTAAAAATCTGTGTTGTTTGTCAGATACTTCAAGGGTCCTGAGCTTCTAGTTGATCTGCAAGATTATGACTATTCCTTAGACATGTGGAGTCTTGGTTGTATGTTTGCTGGCATGGTGAGAATCGCTGCCCTGTGCTACCGTTTGTACGTGTTTTCAATCATTTGTATCTTAAAGGAATGCAGTTTTCGTGTTGTTTTTACCTGTTGATACATGGGATTGCAGTAATAATTGGGTTGTGGGTGAATGACCTTTGCTTTTCACAGATTTTTCGCAAGGAACCCTTCTTCTACGGTCATGATAATCATGATCAGCTTGTCAAAATTGCTAAGGTAAGGCATCGGTTTGTGAGTTTGTATGCGATCTCTGGAGCAATTTACAACTCCTTTTTAATCTTTCGCTCTTGTCAGGTACTGGGAACTGATGAGCTAAATGCCTACCTTAACAAATATCAGTTAGATCTTGACCCACAGCTTGAGGCACTCGTTGGAAGGTTTTCCTGATCCTGAAACTGTTCTTTCTTTTCTTTCTTTTTTTTTAAATAAGGCAATGCGGGCTTGAGAAGATCTATTCATATATATATATATATGCAATTTGTGTCGATTGTGTGTTGCAGGCACAGCAGGAAGCCATGGCCAAAGTTTATCAGTGCAGACAACCAGCACTTGATCTCCCCTGAGGTTACTACATCCCCTTCTGTCTCTGCAGCACGTTTCATGCTACTGCTGATATTGGATTTTTTTTTGGGTGCTGTTTCAGGCCATCGATTTTCTTGATAAGCTTCTTCGGTATGATCATCAAGACAGGCTTACCGCGAGAGATGCCATGGTAATCCGTTGTCGAGCATGTTATGTTAATATTTACTTCATATATAGCAACAAAAAGCTCACAACTTCAAACTTGTTAATGAAAAATACAAATTTAAAACTAAGAAGTCAAAACAAATAAACTTGATCTATGAAATACTTTCTAACTAAATATACTTCTCCATAGAATGGACTGCTTAGGATTGGTGAACACTGCACTTTGCCTTTAAAATGTTGACTTGGAATGTGTTGTGGTGTTGATTTAGGGTCACCCATACTTTGCTCAAGTGAGAGCTGCAGAGAGCAGCAGGCTGCGCACACAGTAACGCTCATTTAAAGACCAAACTACCTTTACACTCGTTATTTCTGTCTTTTTGGAGACAAAAGCTTCTACTGCTATTCTTCTTGTCTTCTTAAAATACAACTTTCTCAACAAACAGGTTTCATATATAAACCCTTGGTCGCATGCCTACCCGCTCTCATGGCAATTTTCTTTCGAGCTACACATATGTGTATATACACACACCTCACAAACGAAATATTGTCGTCCGTGGACTTAGAAATACGGAAGTTGTCACATCCATTAGTTCGAGTTTTGGACTCCGAAGGTGCATTTTGCACACTTATGGCTTATGGCCTCTCTCTGATCCAACGTTAACTTGAAGCAATCCAGCTCGGCTGTGTTTATTTAAAAAAAGTAAACCGAGACCAGCAGCAAACACTTTATCACGAACTTTTTAACGAGTCTTATGTGCTAAGAGCACACGTTACAGAACAAGCAAGTCTGAGTGACAGACAGTAAGGGGAAACTTTGGTTTGATCCCAGAGACACCGATTGATTACAAACACGGAATGGAACCCACACACATGTACATGGGAATAGAGTGACAGTTCACTTCTTCAGATGCGGAAAACAAGCAAAGAGATCGGACTTTGGGTGCTTTGCCTCTGCGTGCTCCCTGCATTTCACTTCCGTCGTCGTACACATGAACGTTTGCATGCAAACCTTGCACTGAAAATATAACATTTCTAGATGTTATACTGAATCATTGGGAGATGCCGAATGTATAAAGAAATGGAGAAGTAGTATCGTTTCTTTCTATGCATGAAATGAAGCTCGATGTACATATGGCCGGCTGGTAATCAGCAAACCAAGCTTTCTATGGAAGCAAGTAAATAACCTTTCATAGTTTCAGCAAAGGGGTCATTCCATTATATGCATCAATAAAAAACCTAAATTTAATCACAAGGGAAAGGTCGCTAGCTTCGGCCAAACACTAAGAGGTGTCTTAATCTGGTGCTATGGTATATATAACCTGATGATCCGTGCAATTACCCTGATAACAGTGAGAAACTCTAATCCTGCCAGTTCATCTCCCAAACAATCTTGACTATGAAGTGACTGACCGACTCAAACTATTCATCATCCAATGAATGAAAAAAACTCAGGAATCATGTCCTGTATCAGGGTATTCAGATGCACAAAGAAGCAGCTTCTAAAATCCGACAGTGAAGCTACCGATCTATAGATTAGATAAGAACTAAAAGCATTTCAACATCTGATTACAAGCAGTGTAATAATACGAGTAAAGACATGCTACAATCACCTGAATACTCATTGCTTTCTTATTCATTTCCAATTGGCTTCCTGCAGGAGATCAAAGTATCAACATCAACAACCAAATCCAATACACCTAACTCTCGGAACATAAGGGAACAGATTCTATCATCCACTTTTGGCGGAAAACTAATGCCGGATAAGAAGACGAACAATCGTAATAAATCAAAATCACCACAAAACAGAAACAAAAACTGACACGCAAGAGCTCCGTTGTTCCTCTTTCTTCCTCCGATTCTCAGAAACCAAACAGAAAACGCAATAATTACGCGCGACAGAATTAGTTAGCGTTTTACCTTTTCCAGCAGCCTTCTGCTTCTCCAGGTTTTTCTCGCGAGCCATCTTCGATTTCTGCGCATTTCCTCCTCCCATTTTCTCACCGATCGATAAACGCAGGAGGAGGACTCAAACCCTAATTCGCAAAAGAGGGAAACACGAAACGCGAGGAGGATGCGAAAGCTGAGAGGCGTCAACGCAAAGGCGACGGTATCTATTTATATCGGCGGTCATTCATGAAGGATTTTGATAATGTCACCGACAGTTCGTCACCGAGCAATCATTTCACTTTATTGGGCCTATGGCCCAATGGGAATTGGCCCATAAGGACCCTCTAACAGAATCAGAGGCTCCACGTATTGAAGAAACATGTTTCATCAGTTCTAGATCTGAAGAAACTCCGTCTTTTTTTTTCTCCGGTGGTTTTTCCGATTGCTTGGGATCAATGGGGGTGGTGATCGAGAGCTCTGTTTGGGAACCGAGCTCATCTTTGTTTGTCTTCTTCTTCGTCTTCACCTCCTTGTCGGTGCTTCTGTTGCCGTTCTACGCCAAGAGCAGAACATTTGGAAGTTTTGATCATAGCGTTTCTTCTTCTTTCACTCGCTTCCAGAGATGGTTTCTCTTCGTCTACGCTATCTCTTCAGGTATGTGCACATGTTTTCACAATATGAACATGTGTGCTTACTGATTTCTTCATGGATATTGCGCGCTCTTAAGATAAAACGGGAGTAGTATTATCTGAATTGGTGGATTCTGAAGGGCTTTTGTGTGGAATTGTTGGTTGTTTTTTTGTAAATTTCCATTTTCAGCATCATGTATGTATTCATTGTAATCTTGTGGTGTAATTTTTCAGTTATGGAAGGTCTATGGTCGGTGTACGGAGAGTTCGAGTTAGCGTATTATGAAGAAACGAAGGAAGTCATGGTTTTCTATCTATGCGTTGGATACGCAGCCACTCTGATTGTCGGTCCTTTACTTGGTGTGCTTTCTGATCTCATGTAAGAGATTTGCTCTTGGTGATGCTGTGAAGTTTATTCGAATTGATTTTAGGAAATGTGGAGACTGAATTTTTGCCCCCATGATCTTCTACTTATGTTTAACAATTGAAACTTTTGTAGAGGTCATCAGAAAATCTGTCTGCTCTTTTGCATCTTGCACTTTGGTGTTGGCGCATGGAAGAGGATTACCAGGAGCCCAAGTGCTGGGTCCTTGAATGTTTGCTTATCTCTTTCCGCCCTTATATTTTCTTTTGGGTTCGAAACATGGATGGTTGTGGAACATGAAAAGGTATGCATTGGAATTTTCATGTTTTCGACTTTTCAGTTATGGATTCTTCCTTGCTCTTGAATTAGTGACAAGATATGTATAAGTACATGAGGTTTTGTTTAGTTAATATGCCATGTTTCTTGTGTCTTCACAGCAAAGTCAAAGGAACAACACATTGAATGACACATTCTGGTTGATGACTTTCCTTGAATCCGCTTCTTTAATCGGAAGTCAAGTGCTGGCAAATTGGCTCTCAGACAATGATATTCGTCATGGATTAGCATCTTCTGCTACGGTATCCTTGTTCTTGTCTGTGGTGGTCATTGTTTCTATTTTCCGGACTGCAAAAGGGTCTTTGAAGACTTTGACATTTAGGGATTATACCGCAGCATCTTGCTTATATGTGCTTGGTGGTAAGGGTCTGTCTGTTTTTCCCTCCCAACTTCAAAATTTGAGAGACAGTATAAGTTACTCATACTTTGCTGCTGATTAATCAGATAAAAGAATTTGGCTTCTTGGAACTTCACAAGCTTGCCTCCAGTTTGCCATTGCAGTCTTTTGGATTCTTTGGGCTCCAACAATAGTGGTATGATCAAGACATTTTGGGATCTCCATGTTGGACCTTTGGTTAAGAATAGCTATTTTATTACTAAGACTAGAGAACATGACCAGCTCTTTCATCTGCTTAAGATTGAAACGAATTATGTTGGATCAGGCTGATGGCCGAGAAGTGAATCTAGGATTGATATACCCATGTCTGTTGGGTGCAAGGATGCTCGGGAGTACAGTATTCCCATGGATCCTTAGTGGACAGTCATTGCTCAGAGTTGAAGACTTTTTGGTGTACATCCTTTCCATACTTGGGATTGTGGTGTCTATAGTAGCATATGATTATCAGGTAAAACCCTTACCTGATAGCTTGAGAAAAATATACATTCTACGGCAGAGCTTCTTTTCTTTCTCTATGCTGAAAGCCTTTGGGATTGGAACCTTTTCTTCAGGAAATATGGGTCTTACTTGTACTCTTCTGCTTATTTCATGGAGGTTCTGGACTGGTGCTGCCTTTGCTTGCAAGATTAAGGACAATGTAATTTATTGATATACCTGTTGATTTTACCGTTTTCAGCTTATGGCCACTTTGTCATTTGGTGGAACTAAGGTTTTTCTTGCCTTTTTTGTCGTTGCTGCTATCCATATTTACAGGTATGTGCCAAATGAATTGCGTGGAGGAATGATGAGCCTTTCTCAGGTCCCAGCCAATGCAGCTGTTCTATTTTGCTTGATACAGGTAAATGCTGCTACAACATAAACCTTTTTTCCCTCTTTCTGAATATATCATGACTTAACTATTGAATATTGATGCTGAAACAATGGCTTTTCATTGCCATCAGATTAATGCTTCAGTGATAGTTTTGGTAAATGATAATACATAATCAACCCTTTTGGTGTTGTACAAATCAACTTATCTATACTTTTAACATTGCAGAGAGGATACCACAGAATAGAGAATTCCACCATGATGGCTTTAGGGGCCGTCTCCTTATTCATAGCATCCGGATGTATATATTCACTCAGACGTTGGGGAAAGCCACCACACCAAGATTGGCACAAATTATGATATCTGAAGATTTATGGTCTCTAAAGCTGGACTTTGCATCTGACAGAAAGCGATGGTCGACCAGAACATGCAAACAGATGATGGAACTGACTTTGGAGACAGTCTTTGCTTGATCATGACGGTGTAACCAAGGAATGGAGATTCTACGAGACGACCTGTAACTGGCAATCACCGTCTTTGCTGCAGTTCTTGTCTTCTCAGCAGTTAGGTTAAGGAGGGTAAAGGGGCAATGGTGAAAACCATTGCCAAAACCCTACCTCGATGATGATTCTTGGAAAAAGCTTTGAACTTTTTGAGTTCCTGAGTATTGAAAATGGAAAATGGAAATTGTTAAGGCAGCCAAAGCTAAGCTTCTCTGAGAACAATTGAGACATTACATGTACGGGTTTTTCACAATTTGTTGCCAATGCATAAGTCACATGAGTGATCTAATAATGTTTTGCTACACATTAGTTTTGGCCAACCTTCTGTTTCCCGCAAAATCTATAAGCCAGAGCTTTTGCTTTCTGGTGCATTCATCATTCGTCAAGTCCTGGGTCTTTATCATAATACAGAGCAGAGCCTACTGAAAAGATCACAGAAGTTTACCAAGTGGATCATACAAGTAAAGAAGACATAAACCAGACACAAGGGGAATTGGCAAAGATCCGGATACAAGTGAGAGAGGCTGATATGCTTTTGTTCACACTATCGGATCCAACATACGATAGCTGTAACAGTTTAATCATTTCTTGTTTTCCCAGGAAGCTGTAACAGAGTACGAGTAAATTACTACATTACAAGCGACGAGACAAGGAAAATAAGACTTACTTGGGAGAGAAAGCTCCATATAATAAGTGGTTCCTCGTATATACTGAGAGTTAGCTTTAGAAGTTGTCCTATATCTGCATTCTGGCAACCTGTCAGAGAGATAAATACATGTGGTGTTAATATACAAGTCATACCATAGTTTTCATCTTCTAGATCTCACTGGTATCAACTTACTTCTTTGCAGGACCCAGCTTGACCCCCTCAAGCCCACTAGTTGCAAATTTTAGCACACTTAGGTCCTGCTCTGAAGGACTGATTTGCACAAAAAGTTTCAGTCTTTGAGTTGCCTCTTGCAAAATTTTCTCACCTGTATGAACATCAAATTTACAACAGATTTAAGACTGCAGAAATTCAGGTTTAGCAATGGCCAAGACTGATTGGACTGCAAATCTACAGTTGATACGGTTCCATCATCAGCACTTACTGTTGGCGGAAGGAATCTTCTTCGGTTTGTCTTTTGGCATCAAGTTCCAAGGGTCCCTCTCCGTACCAACTTCTTACACCAATCCAAGGCTTTTGATAGCCTTCCCTCAATGATACCCACCACCGAGTGTTTCCTTCTTTTCTCATCTTCAAGATCAAGAGTTCGGTATGCAATTGTAAGCAAGTAGATAGCTGGATGGAGTCTCCTGGAGAAAATGAAAGTCGCATATAAGATAGTTAGCTTCGAAACAACTTCTACAGACTCTACTGCACCTTTTCCAGACATGAACTTTTAGTCCTTTTATGTAAATGATTTTAGAAAAGATAAAGATGAAGGTGTTATGTTTTGAAAAAGAAATTAAAAGGTTTCTGGTATATGGACATTTAATTTCAATATTATATACCCCAAGGAACTTTGAGTCTGAAAACATATGCATGGAAGTGCCTTCTACCAATCAATACACAGCACTCTGCCTTTTAACTTTAGTCAATCCCTATTAGCCTCTTTATATGCTAACCAAATATCAACTCACCCATCAAATGTCTCACTCACTTCAAACCCATCCCAGAATCTTTGTGAAAGGACTGTCCGGCCCTTTTTATCCTTCCCGAAAGTTTCAATGTACCAGCCTCCAACATCATGTAAGCCACAACGAGGCTCGAACAGCCAAAACCTGTTTCCACATTTCACACAATAATTGTTACATGCCATCGCGGTAAGGATGCAATCTAAAATCGGCATCACTGCATCTTCAATAACAAGATCAAAGACTACTTGGGCGTTTCAGAAAAGCTATCTACTACAAGAGAATTGATTTAACACCTTTCAGGTACAGATCATAACCATTCGCAGAAACAAAACAAAAATATTTGCAATAATAATAACAATGCAAGCAATGGGCTTACTTGCTTGGTGGTAACTTTGCTCTACTGCATCTACACTCACAAATGGAAACTGTATCCCCAATCCTGTACCAATGCAAATGCCTCACCTGGAAAATATGAAGAAAAAAATACCAACAAAAAGGTAAATGCTTTTATCCAGAGCTAATCTCTGTATGCATCATGCGACAAAGTTTTCAAAAAATACCTGTCACAGATTGTGAAAGGTAAAAAAGAATAAAAGCTAGTAGATATAAGAATCACAAACCAGGAATGTCCTATGTTTCATGACAACATGAGTCTTCACACCATTCCCATCATAGACATAGCATGAGCCTTCATCTGGGTTTGTCCCAAGACCACTAACGCTTCCAAGAAGAACTCCGGATCCATTTCCAAATCTGGGAGATGAATACCATCTGTTGGCATTATTAGACCCTTCATCTAAATTAAGGAAAACATGAATGCGGTCATTAACATCCTCATTTTGTTTCCCTTCACAATACCCTTGCGGGGGAATCCTAATGCCTGTAGCAACAACTCTTCCGGATATATGCAGCTGGATATCTTTATATGCATCTGAAACAATACTTTCATTTCTCGAGACTTGCATGCAGGATACCCGAGCACCAATCATATCATCAGACTTCACGTCACAGCTTGCTTTCTCGACAAGTTGGTTCATATCCTGATCCATACAAAATGAAGAAGCCAACTTGGCATGGCAAGAAGAGGACAGTTCAAGAGAGTTATCTTCCACGCAGACCATTCCAAAAAGGTCCCGTCCTGATACCAAGTGCAGAACCTCCGGAGTATCGCACACAGACCTTTCCTCGGCTTCAAAGCAGTCGGGTAGAAGCTCCATCGAGTCTATGTCAGGCCCAAAGTATGCAGCTTTAATGGCTGAATAGAGATCTGCTTCAAGTACGTCGAAGTAGCCTGAGCCATTTGCTACTCTCCTCTCTGTTACTATATCATTTATGGCGCCTCTATACCATTTTAGCCATTCAACTACTTCCATCTCCTTGCTCGTTGTCATTCGTGATTCGTATCTGTAAAGCATCGAGCCTTGTCTAGAGTGGTTTGTCACGACCATTCTCCGGGATAACAGATACCTGTCATAATGTGCCCTCTTCTCAGAATCTGAAAGAATCTGCATCACCACCACAAATTATACTTCAATGTCATAAAATTCTCACGGAGCTAAACCATGTCGTATCACAAAATATTGATGAAAAGTTATTACAAGTTTAGTTATCAAAATAACCTGAAATGCGTATACACTATAATAAGCTAATTATGAATTAACTAGTGAAAATATGAAACCCCGCAAGCTTTCCCTTTTTTTTTCGTGTGCTAAGCTTAGAATTAAACCTCATGAAATTCGAATCGATCAAGCAATCCATCTATCAATACGGAATCAAATGTAGGAAATCTAAATTGGGTGCATATTACTTCTTCCATGAATTGGGAATTTCAGATCGAAGATGAAAAGCATCTCAGACCATCGGAATATACAAACCAAACGGAAAATCAGACAGTGCAGGAAGTGAAGTGGAAGCTCCAAAAACACCTCATAAGCGACGAGAATCTGGACGAAACGTTTCGATGAAGATGGATCTTTCTTCGACTCGGCAAGGTCTGGGTGAGTCTCCTTGGCGAGCCTGCGAAACGATGCCTTGATCTCGGCAACTGAGCTAATTTCAGAAACTCCCAATATGACATACGCGTTCTCCACCGGGAACTCGGTCCGATTCGACTCAGTTCCGCCACTGAGCCACCGAGTTCCGTGGACCAGGTCCAGCAGAACATACGACGGTGCACACCCGTGATTCAACTCAGCCCGAAGCGAATGCATGAAACGCTGTCGAATCAGACCGGCAACAGCCGCCATTCTCTTCACCTGAAAAAGTGAAAATTCTCTGTTCGATCGTAACCGAGCACGACGAACAAGACGACAAGTTCAAGTTCATGCCCCAGAGGACGGAGACGATAATGCCACGTGGCGGCTCGTGAGTATCCTTAGTGTTCGTGCCACGTCAAGGGAAACAAAAAAAAGAATGAAATAATGTTACGAATTAAAAAAAAAATACAAAGCCCGACACGACCCAAATAAATGGGCCACGTGAAGAGTAGCCACGTGCCAATCACGTGGAATTGAAATATATCCAATGCTTTCGTTTTGATAATTTCTTTGGGCTTCAAAAGGCTTGAGTATAAATGGGCCTGGGCTTTCACAGTTATGATACGACGCCGATTTCCGAATCTCAACAAATACCCTATGCAGATTAATATACGTATTTAATGTAAAAATAATGTAGCTTACTAAAAGACCGAATTGATCAATAGAGTACAAACACTTGATAACAATCAAGCAACATCAACCTAATTCTAAATTTAAAAACAAATGCAGAGAAAATATGAATCCGGTGTAATCTAAACCTATCGCACCAATTTAACAATAGGGATGATGACAGATTAGAGGATATAATAAAGATTAAACTAATAAAGTTGTAATATAATGTATGATTTCTATGTGGTAATAATTATATATCTCGTATATATTTTTTTTAGGGTATGAGATAAGTAAAAAAACATATTTTGACAATACTCGGGATTCTTTCCGAAACTAGATTCATTCAAATGAAACGAAAACCCATGATTTATAGGGGAAGTCCTCGACCCTGTTGGTAAGATGATAACTCTCCCTCGGTCAGAGATTCGATTTCTCTTGGTGTCAAGCTTCTCCTGAGACGGTCAGTTTCAGCTAGTTTACCTAGTTGGCGTGGCTTGACGGCTGTTGCATTTAGCCGTTGGGTTTACCGTCTATGATACTCAGTGGTAGATCTATGTTAAAAGGAGTGGAGGCACATGCCCCATTTGATTGATTAAAAATAAGAATTTCTTTGTAAAATTTATAAAATTTTAATTAAAATTATTAGGTGCCTCCATGATAAATTATTTTTATCATTCAATAAAATTAAATTTGTCTCCATTGACAATATATCCTAGGTCCGCTACTGATGATACTGTATCTTTCATCCGGCCTTCTGGATCGTGAGGCATTGCAGAGTCCGACCCGAAGAGTTGAGCGCGGGTTCCCATTGTTATATAAAAAAAAACATGATTCACGATGCTTCTGTATTTGTCTCGAACGTATTTTTATATTACCTTTTAAAATGCCGCGGTGCAATGATGTGTCGGTCCAAATAGTAAAATAATATTATTCTGGAGCTATTCGTTGCACCAATTGTATGGGAAGAGCTTCTTGAGATTCGTCGTCTTTCCGAAATGGATGACTATATATATTGTATCTGTGTAAGTATCGATTTAATCGTTTCGCCTTCCAACCGAAGTGTGAACTTTAATTTCGGAATCTAAAAACACGTTATACATATTATATTCATATTCATGTTTTTTCCCCAGTTAGACACAAAGAAAAAAGTTACCATTAGGTATGCCACAATGAATTTCTTATTGATTATCATTTGAGGATACAAGAGATATATACACGTGAATCAGTTTGAAAATAGCTGAAGATAAGGGAATAATAGAACATATAATCAGGGATTTGATACGTGTAGTATCTAGAGTAATATATAGTAATATCCGGAAGATATCCTTCCTTTATTAGGTGAGATTCCCGCCATAAAAATTGATAGTTAATTACTATTAATTATGTAGCTTAAAATGATGCATTACTGAACCATAACACGTGCATCTCGTGGAGTGACCACCACCCTCAAAATTTTGTCGATCGTAACCTAATTCAAAACATTTGATTATAAAAAATAATAACGTTTAGGTAATATTTTTTTATATGATAAAAGATTAACAACAAAATATAATAATTGACCTGGAAGATTTGTGAAGATCCGGCTGGCCCATTAGAATCGAACATGTTTTTGTTTAGGAAAATAGTTTTAATCGGAAAAAAGATCACAAAAACTTCTTAACACGTGTATATTTATTTGACAGGTGGCATTTAACTTTCAGATGTGTGTAATTTGAATCAATTTTTCAAGTAGGGGTGGGCGTTTCGGGGAACGGTTCGGGTTCGAGACGGAATGAATCGGTTCGGTTTTTTCGGTTTTACAAAAATAGGTACCAATCGAGTTTTTTATTATTTTCGGTTCGGTTCGGTTTCGGTTTCGGTTCGGTTCGGTTCCGGGTTTTATTAAAAAAATGATAGATTTCTTTTAAAAATATTCAGTTTTTCGGAATTTTTGAAATTCGGTTCGGTTCGGTTCCGAAAAAATTCGGTTCTCTAAAAATGGTATCGTTCGAAAAATAACCGTGGTTTCGGATCGGGAAAAATACCGTTTTAACGGTTCGGTTCGGTCCAGTTCCGAAGAACCGAACCGAATCGCCCAGCACTATTTTCAAGTGTGCAACTGTAGATCTCAGTTGGACGGCACAAAATTGGAATACTAAATAAACCTATATGAAATAATAGATCAATAAATGTATCTGTCGTCGTACGAGGCATATAATATTATTATTATGCTTATTAATTTCATAAACGTATTCACATATGCAACAATTCACGTGGATCGTCTCTTCTAAAACAAATCCTACATATGCGTCTACAGAACCGAGCTCTCCCTATATAAACCTAGAGCTGCCTTCGTTACAGTCGCCTTGCTATTAATTACTGATTAGCCACTATGTGCGACACAATGTTATTCGCGTTTTTGTTCGTTGCCGTTTTGTTCACCCTAAAACTTCTCCTTCCTTCGAGGAAACGCTCCGGCAACGATCTCCCGCCATCTCCGCCGTCTCTCCCCTTCGTCGGCCACATCCTCCACCTGAAAAAGCCTCTCCACCGCGCGTTCCGGTCACTATCCGAGCGATACGGACCCATTTTCTCCCTCCGGGTCGGGTCACGCCTCATTGTCGTCGTCTCGTCACCTTCTCTAGTTCAAGAGTGTTTCGGCCCGAACGACACGGTTTTGGCCAACCGGCCACGGTTTCTCAACTCCAAACACGTGGCCTACGACAACACGACGGTCGGGACGGCTCCGTACGGCCCCCACTGGAGGAACCTCCGACGAATCTCTGCCGTGGAGATGCTCTCTTCTCACCGTCTCCACCTGTTCCAAGCTGTTCGGTCCGACGAGGTGCGTCGCATGGTGGCCAAGCTGGCGAGCAAGGCATGTGAAGGGTTCGTGACCGTGAATCTGAAGAAGACGATATCGGTGGTGGTGATGAACAATATAATGAGGATGATCGCCGGAAAGAGATACTACGACGACGACCAGAGCAAAGAGGAAGGTGCTCGGAGGTTTCATGAGATAATGCAGGTATAAATATTGGACATGATATAAAAAAAATACTATATTTAATCTGCACCAGATGCATGGAGCATATCTAATCCTGTATCGATTCCTTAATTAAATCCATAAACCTAAGGAAGAATAAACATAGGGAATTACAAATCACTCTTAACCAAAAACAAAAGAATAAACACAGAGAAACGTGACAAATTAAACGTTCTTACAAATCTGACATAAATAGCATTCATATTCACACACACACATATATATATATATATAAGCATGCACGCATGTGAGCTATAAAAAATCAAGTTGTTATAATCGGCTGATATTGAATGATATAATGCTAAACCCTGAACGCAGGACGTCCTGGACAAGAGCGGAGTAGGAAATCCAGCGGATTATTTCCCGATAATAAAGTGGATAAGCCCAAAGTACGTGAAGAGAGTGAAAGAGTTAGGGTTTCGGATGAACGAGTTCATGCAAGGGCTTGTCGACGAGATGCGAAGAAAGCGAGAGAAAAGCGACACAATGCTCGACCACTTGTTGCTTCTCCAGGAGAAGGAGCCCGAGCAGTACACTGACCAGATCATCAAAGGCCTTATTCAAGTACGTATATCTTCTATCTGCATGTTTATACACACACACATATATATATATATGCGCAAAAATGATACTTATATACATATAAACGAATATGGTTATCTTAATTATCATTAATACGTTACATGGTATGGTTGATAAATTTGAGAAAACAATTAGTAGACGTTATTAAATTCGTATACAGTTTATAAAAAACGATTAGTAGACGTTGATCTTATCGGTGTAATTCGTATTTTTCAATTTTTTGGAAGATATAGTCGGATAAGAGTTTCGGTGAACTTCCCTATTATAAAAAAAATAGTATACAGTTTTATACAATGCCGTGTGCTTTTTCTAGAAAATATGACTATGACTACTTAGAAGTGCGAGAAGTTGTTGGCATATATCTCATCCTCTATAATCTTATATGTGATGGACCGGCCGAGAAAAGTCTCTAATCATAGAGGGTTCTTTTTTTTTTTTCCTAAAATAAGAAACGGGTTCCTTTTTTCAAAATAAGAAACTTCGTCATCAGCTCTGAGTTACGATGGAGTATTTACATCAAACAACATGCATTGGAAATTGTGCACTTGATTACAATGGAGATGCATAATAGAGTTTAAAAATATATAAAGAAAAGCTCTGCAAAGTTAAAGGGCGTTACATCATATAGCAAGTTCCCGTGTGAATAATATAAAACAGATCGTCAATATATAATGCATTTCCGAGTCTCATTATGATAAAATGCTCACGTGGGGGAATGCATGCATGCAGGCCATGATGTTGGCAGGAACGGACACGTCGATCGTGACACTCACATGGGCAATGGCGAATTTACTAAACTACCCTCACGTCCTCGACAAGGCCCGACAAGAGATCGACGACCGGGTCGGGCAAACCCGTTTGATCGACGAATCTGATCTTCCAAACCTCCCTTATCTCCAAAACATAATCTCCGAGACTTTCCGGTTATGCCCTCCTGGCCCATTCCTCCTCCCGCACTATTCGTCCGCGGACTGCACCGTGGGTGGATACCACGTGCCACGTGACACGATCTTGCTCGTGAACACGTGGGCCATACACCGCGATCCCAGTGTATGGCCCGACCCAGACTCGTTCCGGCCCGAAAGGTTCGAGGGTGGAGAGGAAGTGGACGCGTATAAGTTGATACCGTTTGGGATCGGGCGTAGGGCGTGTCCTGGTGGGACATTGGGTCTGCGTATTGTGGGTCTTACATTGGGAAGCTTGGTCCAGTGTTTCGAGTGGAAGACCATCGGGGATGAGCCCGTGGACATGACGGAGGGGAAAGGTCTCGTCATGCACAAGGCAGAGCCCCTGGTTGCGACGGCTCGGGCTAGACCCGTCGCCACCAAGGCTATCGAGGGAGCTGCTTGAAGAACGTGGATAGGATTATTAGTAATCTTGATTTGGAAAATCGAGTAATAAGCGATGGATTTTAATTAACGTTGAAGAAGAGTAACCAGTAATATATATGTGGGTGTGGGTGTGTTATATCATTGATTTTGTTGGTGATTTCACAAGGTCCATCTTTTATTTTATTTGGTATTGTTGACGTGCGAGCACCATTGTTAGACAAGCTACTCACCATCTGATTTGTGGAAAGGACTGGCTACACACCAAATATCTATATGCGACGAGATACTATTTACGTGCAAAAAATATGCTATCAATTTTACTTCATAATTCAAAATTTAAGAAACTTTTAAATTATTCAAAAACAATATTGATTCATTCGGAATACATAGTGCGCACATGATTTATTAATTCCACTCTATAACTTAAAACGTTAAGAGCTTGGAACATATGGATAGAGGTGTCAAACGAGCCGACTCAGATCGTTTGAGACTCGACTCGTTTGGTTCGAATCGTTTTGGACTCAATTCGTTAGGCTCATTTTCTAACGAGCCAGAAAATCTTGGCTTAAATCATTCGTAAGTTTTCTGATCTGAATGAGCCTACTCATTGAGCAAATGATATATAATATTTTTTTATTTATATTTATTCCAAATTTAATTATAAATTTAAATAAATACATAAAATTTAATAAAACTCTAATATCATAAACTATATAAAAAAAATATTGGTTGAGATTTCAGAAGGTAAAAAAATAATCTAATAATAGTTCAATAAAAAATAATTTAAATAGATAATAATAACAAAATATATTTTAATAATATTTTTATATTTATACTCTAATTTTTATTTAATATTTGTAATTATCACCTTCATAATAATTAAAATATTTATAATATCATATGAAAAAAAGAATATAAAATTATATTAGAATTTTTTATATACATTAATTTTTAAAAAAAAAGTCAGTTCATTGAGCAACTCGTCAGTTCGCCGAACTAAAAAATTTATTGAATACGTGTTTAATGAGTCTGACTTGTTAGGTTTATTTTTTAATGAACTGAAAAAATCACGACTTAGATCAATTGTGTTGACATTACTGCATATGGAGATCATCAGCTAATATAAAGGAGGACACATAGTAATTCAGTTTACATGGGCTGGGCTCAATCATGAGAGTGATCGGAAACCATATGCACCATGAAAGGTCTTTTCCCATTCGGTGGAAACGTTTGTTCATAAAACTAAGCAAGTATCCAAATTTAAAATATCCTGTAAAACTGGAATCAAACTAATATACCATAATATAGTATTGGACAAACGGATATTATTAGGTTAAATAAAATAAGTCATTTAAATTAAAATATCATACAATGTCAAAAAAAAGAGAGGAAGAGGTGTGTTTATACATCATGTCCTAACAAGTGGCCCTCCTTATTTCTGTGACACGTGTCATTTATCCTTTTTCTGTCTGCCAACTTGTTTGCTATCAGCCTACGTCACATTCATACGGCAATATGAAATTGACCCTTTATCGCACCAACGTCTATATACGACACGTACCGTACCTTATTTTGTCGACCATCTGTAAAATTTAACAAATTTTCAGTTTTTTATATACTGAATATTGTATGGGATAATCATATTATTTTGTTAGTCGGTAAGAAATTGAAAATATGATTTTTTTTTCATCTCACATAGCTTGGTTTCTATTCCATACATTATTTTTATTTCGCAAATCTATCAAAATTGTTATTTTTGTACATATTTATATACGGATAATTTGTATAATTTAACTAAATATAATATATATGTATATCATACACACGATATAAATTCTTATTCTTTTACAGATAATCAAAACTACATTTGGTTACCTATGTAAGATAATTTCAGGTTTTCAGAGATTTGCTTTTATGAAAACCCAAACGATAAACTGGATCTGGCTTTATATAATTCACACAAAACAATCAATGAAACATAGATCAGAAAACCATACCTGGATCCATGAATTGCAGCGGAATAACTTTAAGAACCAAAAGTCTTCTAGGTTTTCTCTCCTTTCTCCCGTACTATAAGTTTTTCTTGATGGACAGAAATAATGAACCATAATGTTCCTTTTATAGGGTGCGGAAACCCTAGTTGTATTAGGGTAAGGAGAGAGGGGACTTTCAATAATACCTCTGGGCCTTAATTCTTTAATGAGTTCTTATCCATCAAAGAACCATATTAATATTAAAACCCGAAAGCCCAAATTACATGGGCCACATAATAATTTATTTCTTACATTCTCCCACTTGGCCCATGTGACGAATTGATGATCTAATAAACTTTAAGCGCGCAACTTTACATTAGATTCATCTATCATCGATTACTTTCATTTGAATAAGAATCGATGAATCATGGCGGTCACACATCACTTTTAATATGATCCCTTCCATGTATCACAATCAATTATCATCCAACATACTTTATGACCTAGGGATTATATCATTATGCACGTTATCTTACTTAACAATATGTGTACACAAATGACATAATGATAACATGCCTAATAATTGCAGAAACAATACTTTAATTGAATTCAAAATGTCATAGTCATAAATATAATGAGCAAAACATTCTCCGAAATAATCATTAAAGTAAGGACTTGTCAATAATGCCCATCCGTTCGACATGTCCCTTAAATGTCTTAGGCGATAGTCCCTTAGTCAACGGATCCGATATCATAAGATCGGTACTAATATGCTCAAATGACACTCTTCGTTTCTGCACTTCTTCTTTGACAGCTAAGTATTTTATCTCCATGTGCTTAGCACCTTTAGAGTATTTGTCGTTCTTTGAGAAGAAGATAGCTGCGGAATTGTCACAATAATTTCTCAGCGGTCTGGCTATAGAGTCGACAATTCCAAGCCCTGAGATAAAGTTCCGCATCCATAATTCATGAACTGTAGCCTCAAAGCATGCTACAAATTCAGCTTCCATAGTAGAAGCAGCGATGACAAACTGCTTTCCACTTCTCCATGACACTGCTCCTCCAGCTAATAGGAACAGATAACCGAAAGTCGACTTTCTGGTATCAACGCATCTGGCAAAATCGGAATCTGAATACCCAATGACTTCCAAGTTGTCATTTCTTCTATATGTAAGCATGTGTTCTTTGGTGCCTTGCAAGTACCTTAGAACTTTCTTTGCAGCTTTCCAGTGGTCTATTCCGGGATTGCTCTGGTATCGGCCTAACATTCCAATAGCAAAACTGATATCTGGTCGTGTACACGTCTTAGCATACATCAAACTCCCAACCACTGATGCATAGGGAATACTTTCCATTTCTTTTCGTTCCAATTCGTTCTTTGGACATTGCATATTACTGAACTTGTCCCCTTTCTGAATCGGAACTATCCCTGCAGAGCATTCACCCATTCTGAATCTCTCTAAGATCTTATTAATGTAACTTTTCTGAGACAATCCTAACAATCCTTGTGGTCTATCACGGAATATTTCTATTCCAATCACATAGGACGCCTCACCCATATCTTTCATCTCAAAGTTCTTAGAGAGAAACTTCTTTACGTCATGTAACATTCCAATGTCATTTGCAGCAAGTAGAATATCATCAACATACAAGACCA